TTAGCCCTGGTGTAATTTCTGTGTTAGTGGAAGCTTTGGGGTATTGAGTGTTTCATCATCCTCTGGAATACCAGCTTTCATGGCTTTTTTAGCATTCATAGTACATAAGCAAAAAATAGCAGAAATGAGTGCAATAGAAAAATAACAATTTTGTCCGTGTAGATACTGCAGTTTGCATAAGCAGAAGACATGATCCCACATCCAAGAAAAATTAGGTGTGTTTTTGATGGAAAACTGTCTTTTCCCTAATGCATTCTGTTTTGAAGCATCTGTTTGACTTGCAAGGCAATTCACAGCAGTAGGGCCATGGAATGCCCAGCACATGCATGTAGAACGTGCCTGTGATGGTGCAGAACACCTTCCATGTACACCCAGCCCCGAGCCAACCTGGAGGAAATCCTGGGCACCTCCACAGAATGGAGGAGGAGGCTGTGCAGGCTCAGTCCTGTGAGTTTTCCCCATTGTGCCTGCCTGAAGTTCTGGCAGAATCTGTCCTGTATCATTAAATTACAGGGAAGTTTCACAACTGGGCAAAGAGCTGTTGTTTGCCATTTTAGGAACAGCTATATTTAAGTGATGGGTAAGACACGATACATGTTGTACTTCACAGGCGTCACAGCATCTGTGTTTGTAGAATATTTTTTACCTCTTGAAGATGCAAGGCAGTGTGTCATTTTTGTTATATTCATCTAAAAATATATTTTAAAACACTGTGTGTGGAGTTTGTCATACACAGATCCAAGGAAACTGAATCCTTCCCTCCACCAAGAAATTTCTATGTAAAATCTCCAGGGAAGTTCCTTGCCATGATACTGCTCTGGCACAGTCCTGCCCAGAAAGAAAGATGTGGCCATTCAGTTTGCTGCCTGATCCAGGCCCTGTTGAATTTGTCAAAGCTCCCCTTGGCTGCAGCACCCACCACAGCAGATCCTCAGCCATTGGCCCCACAGTGCTCTTGCCAGCAAACGTTGGTGACATTTTCAGTCTGTGGGAGCAGAGTGGTGACTGCACCACTTGGGAAGCCAAGGTAATTGTTACATGGAGAGGGACTGGATAGCTCTGACCTGTCCTGCATCCAGCCTCACACCTTGCTGGGGAATGTCCCCACCTTGGAGGGGCTCCAGGCCCTCTTCTCCCCTGCTGTGGAATCACAGTGCCCTTGAGAGCACACGGCATTCCCCTTCCTCCTGGGAGCCCAGGGACACTCAGCCTTTGGAAATCCTCCGGAGGCTTTGTGTGGAAGGTGCTCAGAGATCGTAAAATGGTTGTTCTGTGCTGTCCAAGAGCCTGTTCATTAGTAAGGCTTTTAATTATATAACAACCCTGCTTTAAAACTGTCTGCTTCCCTATAACATCACAGAAATAGCAGACTTGGTTGGCCCTGTGCCTTTTTAAAAGTGACTGTTGAGGTACTTATTAACATCAGTTCCAAGACATTTTTCAGTGAGCAGTGAGAGTTGGAATATGGAAATGTCATATTTTTCCTAGTATTAAACAGTTGTTAAACTAGAAGCATAACTCTTGCCAGATAGTTATTTCTTGTGCCTGTCGTCTTCATAGAAGGAAAATGAACATGCATTTTTCTTTCATTAAGTATTTTAAAGTTCATCCTTGTTTGGTGATCTAAGTCAATTAAAATAAGTTTATGAGCAGCATGTGAGAGCAGAAGACTAATTAATTTTAGGTGTTGGATAAAACACATTCTTTTCTGGTTTTGTCTGCTAATGAGTATTACTAATACCCATAATAACAGACCTTACAGAAAATAGTATTACACAGAGTTTATGGTACTTTACAAATAATTATCTCAATATCTGTATGAATTAACAAACTACTATTTTTGTGGGAAAATATATATTAAGGCAACATTACATCAGCTGCACCTAGAGAAAAGAGTCTTTAAGATCGTTATCATAGCAAATAAGAGCATCCTTTAGAAATGGTCAATAAAAGTTCACCTTTTTTTCAACAGGGGTGAATATTTTTAGCTCTCTCACCTAGCACTGCACCTGAAACTGAAAGTGAAGTCCAGATATATTAAAGACAGGCAGTGAAATCCCTGGAACATACTCAGGGTTTCCAGAAGCTTGCCACTATTTGGATCTGTCTTTCTTCTTAGAGTCTCTGGAATCAGCTGTAAGTGTAGGTTCTTCATCCAAAATTCCCTGTTGTTGGAGTTGGTTGGGTCTGTGGGGTAGTTTGGGCTTTTCACTACTGTGAATCATCCTTTTAGTGCCAGACTGGTCCTTTGAACTGGTTTCGCTGTACCATCCAGCATAAAGAGTTGCTACTCTGAGAAGTTATGTTGTTTTAATCCTTCCACTTCAAAGTAAATGCTTACAAAAGTGTCACTTTGAAGTCAATCACACAATGCACAGCTTTCCTCCAATTATGTTATGTAATATGGTTCTGTTGATATAAGCATAGGGTTTATTTTACACAGAAAGCACTTCCTGAGAGGTGACTGCACAACTCACAGGTTGCTGAAATGGCACAGATTTTTAGCCAAAGCTCCAATGCAAGTTCTTGGCTCTTAGGAAGAACACTGAGGTCTCTGACTGCATGCACAAAGATGATGTTTATTTTTAAATATTTTATCTAAGAACCAGAGGCACGGGGTAGGGTGTTTTTCAGAGGATTATTCTGAGAGCAATTGACTTTAAAACCCTTCAGTACATAGAGAAGACTGTCAGGCTTTCTGCTGGAGAGCTTTCCCAAAGGATTTCTTTGACAGTGGTCAGGGAGTGGCTTCTGCTACCAGTCGTGCACAGTTGACATGGGTGAGATATTGAAATCTCTGAAGCTGTTCCTTCAGTGTGGCCTACAAAGAATATTACAGTGTGTATCCTGTTTGGCCTACAAGGGCATTGAGGTTCCAAGATGTGAAATACGGGGTTGGACAGTGTTTTCTCCACCACAGTGACCTCAGCGTGGTCAGAGTCGCACCAGTCCTGCCCTGTGCACAAACGGCACCATGTGCAGCTCCCAGCAACCAGTGACCTCTTTCTGCACATGGTCTCAGGCCCCCGCAGTGAAATGATCTTTGACATTGATGGTACAGGCTTTTATAGTTAGCACATTGATATCTAATTTGGTCAGACATCTGCATTCTCCTTCCTTCTCTGCTTCATTTAAAAGTGTTTGTTCCTTGAAGGAGCTAATACCTCTCTCTGCTTGTCTCTCCAATGCTCTTAACACTCAAGTCAATCCAAAAAAATCTGTTCTTTTCACTCTACTTTCCTCTTGCCTGTCTCTTTTGAGTCAGGGTCCTGCCCTGGGCCGTAGTGGAACCGTGATAGTAAAAGTGAATGGGAAAGCTGGTGCTGTGCATGGTTCTCCTCGAGAAGAAAGCTGCTCTCGGCTTTTCCCTGTGCTCTCTCCCACCTTATAATCGTTTCAGTGTGCAGCAAAATGCCATTGAGATGGGTGTGTTTTGTCTTGCTCCTCTCTTTTCAGGTCCCCACATCAGTGATGCTGAAAGCCAGGGCAGATGGCTTCAGTCCCCTGCAGTGTGACCTTCGGGGTAAGATCTGCTTTCCTTTCTCTGCATGGGGCTGATGGGTGCATCAGTTATTGTGTTCCTTAGTTGACTTAGCAAAAGGGAAGTTAGCTGATTGAATTATATGGTACCTTTTACTTTAAAGGTTTACTTATTTATTTAAGCAGTATTTATACTACAATACTGACTGATTCCTCAGATTTCCACTTCTTTAGATCTGCCCTGAATGTGAAGTGTTGTCCGTCAAACCATGTGGTGGGGAATAACAACCCCCTCAAACTGCAGCACAGGTTTGAGGTGACAGTAGTTGGTGCTGTAGTGGCAGCTCTGCTAACCCCCCTGAGCAAGGTGTATGTGGTCCAGCAGGGTCTGTTGGTCTGGTGCTCAATTCAGAGCTGGGTTATGCTCAGTCAGGACTAGTGTGGTGTTTGAGTAGGCCACAACAGTTCCTCACAGTCTTGAGAAAGCCTTTGTTCAGTCTTAGGGATTTACTCATGTGGGACTTAGGAAATTCAGTTAGAGAGCCTCAGCTCTTCCCCATTAGGATAATAGAGGAATATCTAGGAGCATGCTGTACAATCCCTCTAAGTCAGTATCCTCTCTCTGAGTCACAGCAGTGCCTGTTCCCAGAGTGACAGACTGGTTTGATAGGATACAGTTGTGTCAGAGTTGGAAGTACACAAGTGCAGTTATTAAAAATGAATGCTGTATCCTCTTTCCCTTGTGTATCTTGTCACTGACATGACTTCACAAGTTGCAAATCTATTAAACATTTCAAACATGAAACTAGAGCTCATTAAGCAGAATGTTGTCTGGTATATAGCAAACTTTCAAATTCAAGACTGCTAATATTTGTCTCCAGAGCTTTTTGTCTTCTAGGTTGTCACCAAGCAATCCAGCTGTCTGGGAATACAGCTTGTGCTTCATCTGATCAGAGTCTGACTGTCCTTTGGGGTGAGGTAGTAGGTTGTATAGTTTTAGGGCTATGCCCTGCCTGTCACATAACTATACAATCTACTGTCTTTCCTGAAGTGGCTGTGATACCGGCGCTGGATGTGCCTTTGAAAGACAACACAGAGATTTTGCAACTGTAACATTCCCTGGCTCTGTCTGTACGTTGCATTTGGCTCTTGTACACAAATGTCCTTACAGTGTTTAGATTCCTCTATTTCCCATTCAGGCCCAAAAGCCATTTCCTTTCTGTGGTTTTCTCAGAGAAGGTGGGGTGTGAGTGAGCCCTTTTCCCAGTCTGCAGTGGACTTGCTCATGCCCAGCGTTCCTGTGCTGCCGTGAGAGTGGCCCTCTGGAAACAGCTGACCCACTTCTCTACCTTCTGGCATTTGTGTCCATGGTCAACAGAAAATGCCACTTTGGAGTCAGCAGCTGTTTAAATCCACTTTGTGTGTTGGCTGTTTGAGAAACTGCAAAGGGACGAGCTGGACAAAAACCAAAGAGGATATCTTCCAGTCGCTCATGTTCTGCCCTGGAACTGGTAAATGCTTGAGCCCTAAGTGAGAGATCTCTTTAATCAGTTTTGGATCCTGATTTCACTTGCTTTTTGTTACATATTGCTAATTTGGGAGGGACAGTGTTTGCACTGCAGTTGTGATGTCTCTGGAGTCACCTCACCCATTCTGACTGACTTCCAGTAGAACTGTGAGGAAGGGTCAGCAGGCCACAGTTACAGAAGTGGGTGGGATAGGACGTGTGTGCAAATGGTGAAATGTTGGTTTCCTTCAGAAGATGTGCACGATGCTCTAACAGGATGAGGTAGTAGGTTGTGTGGTTTCAGGGTAGTGATTTTGCCCCAATCAGGAGATAACTATACAACCTACTGCCTTCCCTGATAAGCAGCATAACAACACCAGTGTCTTAATTCGCAGAGAAATGAGAGCTAAAATATACTGAGACGTACTTCTGAGACAGCAAAGTAAGTCTAGATACAGTTGTTGTTATCCTGTCACTAATTGCTCTACATTTAGATTTTAAATGTAGATTTTTAGTAACTGCCTGCAAAATAATTATCCTTTTAAAAGTCTTTATCATGAAAAATTGAATTAAAGAATTTTTAATTATTTCAAAGTTTGTCTGCTCTCAATCTGTTTTGTTTCTGATTCATTTGAATGGAATGAAGCTATTATGGGAAGTGATTCCAAAAATGCTGCAAAGTTGCATTCAGGATGTTTGTATTTCCTTGACATCTGAGTGCAACAGATTTTACTAGCAATGCATTGGTTTTGTTCAACTTCCCCCTCCCTCAGGAATCTTACAGTGTTTTACAAATAGTACCAGGTGAGTCACGTGACTTCTTCAGCAGGTAGGCTTTATGTTGCAAGTAAAAAGCTGTAACAGTGAAAATCAAGAATGAGAACTAAAAACCCAAAACCAGACTGGTCCCTTAGTTTCTCATAAGCAGGCTCATTTCATGACTTTTAATGACCCCCAAAGAGAATTCTCTGCTATCTAAGAGGCACAAACCGCACCTGGAAATCCATGGACAGAAAATGTTGGGTCCATTAAAGATATTTTGAGAACACGAACTTACACCATAAATCTGTGGAAGAAGGGGAACATAACGGCAAGGTGATGGGTCTGGTTGCACACATAGAACTTGTTCTCCCACATGCAAAATATACCCAAAAATAGGAGAAAAGGCAGTTTAATCCTTCCTTTACACAGCAAGACAGGTCCTTTTAACATCTCGCTTTTGATGACAAAAACATCTCACTTGTGGAACTGTTAAAACACAGTTTGCAGCACTGGGGGATCTGGGAGGTTTCAGTGGAATACTGGACTTTACAGACCTTCCTGGGCAGATTATTCCCTTGTGGAAGCATACATGCTCTTCTCTCTGGCTTCAGCCTGGGTTTGGTACTGTCTCTCTCACATCTGGTAAAAAACTACCCTGCGAGCTTGACAAATGGTGTTGCAGCAGTGACTATGTGAAAATCAGATGGGCGATCCCATAGGTCCTATTTTTATTTAGGTTTGGTTTGCTGGCTTGTTCTGGTGACCTCTGCTGAGGTTCGGCGTAGGATACCCATGGTTACCACATGGTAACTTATTTCCCCTGAAGTTTCAACATGTTCACAACTTTGGTTGTATTTTCTTTTTCTCTCCCTTTTTCTCCTGTTTACCATGGGTAAAATGAAATGATTGATGGCCCAGGATTCAATGATTCACCTTTTATTTCCCCGTCGTACCAAATCTTAGAGTCTGAGTTTGGAAGTTCAAATGGACAAATAAGTTTCCATTTTGTTCCCCTTTGCAATTCAGCTTTTCCAAAGCTTAATAGGTTTTAACTGTAGCACAAAGAAACCTTATAAATACATTACATTTCAGACATTCATCACGTTCTGCTGTCTGGCAGAAAAAAGTGATCATTCACATTTTTTTATAAAAACTTGAGTAAAACAAGTATTAGAAAAGTCCACCTCAGAAAGCCTCCACTTTAGGGTTAGGCTTTTTCACACTAGAGCAAGGAAAAAGATTTTATTGTTTTGAATGTGATAGTATATCCCTAGCTCAAGCTCTTCCCAGGTTTCCAGTGGCGGAGCTGCGTCCGCGTGAGCTGGGTGAGTAGGTGAGCTCACAGCTCAGATGGCTCTGGGAGGGCTGGTCCTGCCCGAGCTCCTTGGCAGGACTGGGAGACAGCTCCGGGGCAGCTGGGAGACAGGCTGTGGTTTGGCCACGTGTGGGCCAAGCAGGTGTGACTTGGTTTTTACAGATGATGCCGGGGAGGCAAACACCTCGACGTGAGCGACGCCTGGGCTGTGCTCCAAGCCGTGATACATGAACCGTGTGGCTCATCCCACAGGTTATTCCCCCAAAGGTAGGTAGGTGCACTTTTTCCCAAAAAGTACTTGAAGTAGTTTTGCCACTGTTCAAGGCCGAAGAACTGTAAGAACTCTTTTTTGGTGGTTTTTTGTGCTCTGGGTTGGCAGCAGACCATGCTTTTCAGCAGCAGCAACACGGAGGATATGTTACTCACTGGATACTTAGAGTTTCTCCTTAGTTTAGGTCCCCTGATGGCTGAGGGAGGGAGAGAATTGGAGCCCAGGAGGGCCAGGGCAGAGGGCATGGGCTGTGGGGCAGGGTGAGCCCCTTCCCTGCAGCACAGCAGGGGAAGGAAGGCTGTTCCCCGCCCCGGTGAGGAAGGTGGGCTCAGCCCGAGGGCGGATGGGGCCAGGCTGCGGCTGCCTTCCCAGCCCTGGCCCCACTTCTCCCGTCTAAAGCTTCTCCACACTGATTTACAGCTCCCTCTGAGTGCCTGGGATGGAATTAGAGCCCCTTGTATTACACGGTGCCTTCCCTGTTATTCTTACTGCACGCCACAGATTTATGATGGCTTTTAAGCCAGGCAGCGCATAAAGAAATACGATCTTAACAAAATATAGAAGGGACCAAAGGAGGTCAAAGTGTGGGAGCTGAACACTATATGGTGATCCAGGATTTCCTTTTATTTACTGCTCACACCTTTTCAATCTCCAGTGGATTTTGGCTGTCTCAGGCAGCCCTACCCTCCATAATCCTCTTTGCCATCAGCGGATGTCATTTATTACAATTTAGCACATGTAGGAAATCCTAAAATGCCATTGGTGAATTAAATGAATTTTAGACAAAGTGCCAGAAAGACACACAGCATCAGGGTAGGTAGGAACCGCACACTGATCCGAGCAGGCTTTCTGTCTTGTGTCATCTCTTGCTGTGGCATCAACCTGGCAGAGCTCCTCTGCTTTTGGTGCTGAAGGAGAATCCTTTGTCTTTCAGGGAGACATGGAGCAAAAGCTATGCCTAATTTCATTGATAGGACTGAGGGACAAGGAAAGAAGTTCTGTAAGCAATTCTACTCTACAGCATTATCAATTATTCCTAAACTGTAGAACAGAGGAAAAATACAGGCCCTGCCCTTCCCCTGCAGATGAATAAAGTGAGCCCTTGCCCCAGGTGCAGGATGGCTGGAGCACAGGGCAGAGCTGCACGGAGTCACCTGTGGGACCGTGGCCCACACTGAACACTCTGGGTCGGGCTGCACATCCAAACAGCTGCCAGGAGGGAGGGAAGCTGTAATTACAGCCAACAACTGACTCCTGAGCCAGTGCCTGCTGCTGACATCCTGGTCTTGAACCAGAAGCCAGGAACAGGAGTTTTTTTCTCCTAGGTCAGGGCAGTAATGCCCTCCAGCTACAGTATCATTCCCTCCATTAGTAGGACGAGGTCTGGCGTGCTCCCTTTCATTCAGATTTATTATCATTATCTCTCTATCTGAGGAAAGAAATTTGTCTTCCCTCTGATTACAGCCTAGGGCTCTATAGCAAGGCTCCCATGGCCTGGGGTGTTTGGTGAGTTTATTTGGCGGGTGGGGAGGGGAAATGTTCTTTTTGAAAGGCACACAACAGTTCAAATAATAATTCATCTGCTCTTCTAAATTTTCGGAGCAACGTCCTCTCCAGTTCCCCTGCTGCTTGTTGCTGGTCCCATTGTAAACCCTTTCTAGAGCAAGGGAAGTTAAACCAGGCCAGTCCTTAGATGCTCTTTGGGAATTTGAGAGGCTACTAGTCCGCATTTGAAGCACCTTTTCCTTACAAGTCTGGACTCCTGTAAGACAGACATCAGCATTGACAGTCAACACAAAACTGCCTCCTCTTCTGCAGGCAGATTTGCTTGACTGAGTTCAGAGGTGATTCATGTTCATGAAGTTAGCGGCACCTCTTTAGTTTTCTTTTAGCACAGGTTATGGTTAAAGACAAACTAGTTGCTGGACATAATTTGGAGGAGGTTTGTTGCTCTGCTCTGTCACCCACTGCTGCTGCCATTTCTTTCCCAGGTGCCAGCTCCTGAAAACCTGGGCTTTGCCCAAGGAGGTCACCACTGTGGGGCTTCTCCTGAGATATCTGGTCTCCTTCAAAGTGGCATCCACAGGAGGGTGAGTGATGTCACTTTTTCCTCCCACTAGCCTTGGGACCTTCGTGTTCCCCAGCTTTTTTCAACTCATTACTGAATTTCTCATGCTTATGTCCTCACAGTATGTGCTGTTTATCATGACATCAAAACCAATAGCTTTTGGAAACATTAACACTACAGCATGTCTTTAGTGTAACATCTAAATCAGGCAGTTCTTGTGTCTTTTGAATAAGCTGTAGCACTGATAAAGTGACGTATGGCAAGACCTGGTACAATATGAACACGCTACCTCCTTTTGTCCTCAGTGTTGTTCTGATGACTTGCCTCATCAGGAGATCCTGTGGTTTTGCTAAGTGGTTGTTCTCATCTTAGTCTTTCCCTATTGATGGTGTGGAAAAGGTGAGCAGGAACAACTAGATCCTGCCTCATGCAGTAACAGGCCTAGAGAAGGGCAGATTTGAAGTGATCCAGAAGAGCTGCTTTTGCCCAGGCTGTTGTGGTAACCACTGGAGATGTGGAATGTGCTGTGGTGCCCTCGGCAGCTCATTGAGCTGTCAGAGTGTGAGGGGCACATGGGGATGAGCACAGTATATGTAGCACTCCTGTCTCAGCTAAGGATGGATCCTTGGAAGGACAGAGTCTCATTTTTTGAAAGGACTTTTTCAGTTAAGTTTAGAAGTTGTGAAGGGGGTTTTTTTATGGCAGGAGCACTGGTTTGAAAGAGTTTTGGCAAGAAGCTGTCACAGTGCTGCACTTGCTTTCCTTTGGATGGTTTTCTCTTTGGTAGGTTTTCTTTGCAGGAGTGACTTGGCTTGAGAGGAACGTTGTGGAGATAAAGCTGCTGTATTTGTGGGGGTCCCCCAGTTTGGCCAGGGTTAGACTTGCAGCTGAAAGCAGTCTGAGCTAACAGCAGACTTTGCTAGGGGTAGTCAGTTAGTTTACTAGTTAGTAATTTTTGCATTGTGTCTCCTTGCCTCTATAATAAAATGTACTCGGCTTATGCAAGAGTCATGAAGATGTTCCTCTGATTCTGCTTTTCCTGTCATGAGCCTCTCACCCTTGATTTGTGTGCTCAATTATAACCATTCCAGTGGGACACATTACTCAGATTTTATGATAGAATGAAAGTATAAAGTCACAGCCTAAACTGTATTGCACTTCTTGCTGGGCTGTGTAATGCATATTTAAATAAAGAAAGGTCAGAACACTGCACCAGCATAGAAAGGGGCACGTGATGTCTTTATGTGTAGAACAGGGATCATCCTGTGTGCTTCTGTGCCAAGGCTTTAGCACGTTTAAGGGCACAAAACCGGACCTATCTATTTAGCACGGCCAGGATATGTTGTAACAACAGTCAGCTACTGGACAGGCGAGGGACTGAACCTTTTGCACTTGCTGTAGCTCTGTGCCTCACAGTTCAGGGGAACCAACTCCTCTTTCCTATATACACAAAGACAGACCCCACTGCTGATAACAGAATAACAGAAATTTATCATCATTCTAAACGTTGAAAATGTTCTGCCTTCTTGGGGTGGAAGAGATCCAGAAACAGCCAAAACCTCTGAAACATAGCTATAGTTTTCTACTTCATAGCTACAAGCAGAAAATACCCCTGAATCAATACTGAAGGCCTGAAAACAGTGCTCTGGGTGTAGAGCGTATTTCATCCCAACCAGGGACTGCAGGAAACCTTGATTATACAGCAATAAATGCTGTAGCCTCCAGAGCCAAGGAAAAGGCTAATCAGAAGCAAACATGTATATAAATATAAATCTGGTGATACAGTCTCTCGCTCTTGCATCTGAAATATATATATAGGCCTCTTCCTGGAGACACCAAATGATTTAGACTTCAATTTCCCTTAAGAAGCCTCTCAACTGCTGGTATCCAGTGCCTGTGCACACCCTACATAAAGACGTGTTGTTAACCAAGGGCACCAGTCTCCCGTTGCTTTACATGCCCAGCGTTATCAGCTCCTCAGTTATGGGCCTCATTTAAGACCAGGTGGTGGCAGGAGAAGCTGCTGTGACTGGTCACCACGGATGATTTTTTACTCTCCCTTGTATGGTGTAGAGCAACAGGTGTTGATATTATTAGGTTTCACTGGAGGCATTTTGGAGAGAAATCACATTAGGCCTGAATCAAACAATGAAAAACAGCATAATGTCTCCATGGGTCACAAGAACACGTGGAAGAAATGACAATTTATGGAAGCAGCAATAATGTGTCAGCTTTCTCTGAAAGGGCTGCATAAACATGTAAAATGCAAACAATGAGGACAATATAACTAATTGGCTTAATAGACACTGTAAAGCAACACAAGACAGGCTACCAAGAGAGGCTGATGTGGTGCAAGGAGGGACATTTGACAGCCTGTATGAGTAAGGAGTCTCTCAGACTGTGGTGAGTTTTTCTGTGAGAAGCTATGCTTGAAGGAGGTTTTCAGAAGTGACTAAATCAGAGCATTAGGAATTCAGTCTGTTAAAAAAAGTATAAATTGATTAGTGATTACGGAATGGGGTTAGTAATCTGTTGCAGTGAGCCGTGGGGGCAGTAAGTCAGGGATGTGCTGTGGAATCAGCCTTGCAGGAGTTCTGCCTGAGGCGTGAGGGGAGAGCTCAAGGGAAAACCTGTGCTGTGGGCACCTGGCAGAGGGGCTGCTGCCCCCTAGTCCCATTTAATGTTTTGGGACACAGGTGAGATGTCTCTCTTTTCAGTGAGACACAGGTGTAGTGCCAAGCACACGGGTACCTGCTTTACCCACATGCAGATGTTTGGGGCTGCTGGGGACGTGGAAGCTTGAACCCTGCTGGACTCGTGTCACCCCTGTGTGCTGAGTCACCCCTCCTTCTACATCCCTAAAACAGAGAACCAGACACGCCTGCAGCTGCGAGGGTTGTGGTGTTACCCTGCCAGTGACACCCAGGGCACATCCTCAGCCACCATACATCGTCCTCAAACTACTGAAACACTGGTTGATCTAGGGCCCTTTTAAAGCTGTGTGACAGCTTTACCTGTGATATCAGTAGGTAGCACTGCAGACTGTATCTCCAGTAGCATCTGAACCAGTTGTTTTCCTGGAACATCTGTTTTCAGCTGGAGGAGGAGGGATGGAGACAACACTCTTACTCATATAGCCAGGCAGCTAAAACACGCTGAAAATCAGAGAAATGACAGTCCTCCGCCAGCCCACAGCCTCTGGATCCAGGGGGACTTTATCATGTGGAGCAGTCAGCTACAGATGAACAGGGAAAGGAATACTTTCTGTCCTGCGTCCCACAGAACTATGCCGTTATTGCTTTCTTCAACTGCTTTTCTGGTTCCCTTCCAGTTCTCAGAAGAATCTCAGCCAGGCTGAATATGAATTTCAGCTGAACCAAAATCTTTGCTGGTTCAATACCCTTTTCTTGTTGTGATACACAAATTAACTAGGAATTACGATTGATGAGTACAAAGATTATTTTTTTGCTCTCATAGTTGTATCTGTTCCAACTTCTAAGTCTTCCTGTTTATTTTGGAGCAACAATGAGGGATGATCAGAACACGTATTCTATGTAAGCAAGGTACAACATGAGAAAGACAGTAAACAACCCCTGCAAGCACCTCTTACAAATCTGGGAGATGTATATTATGCATAACAGAGGCCTATATAGAGACAAAGCAGGAGTAGACACCATCAACTTTGGATGTTTTGAAGCCAAAATGTTACAATCTGGACTGAAACTCTGTGACTCAAACCTGCCCCTGCTGAGGCCAGCATTTGTTTTGAAAATCTAAAATGAGCTGAACCCCAATTTCTATTTACAAAAGATGAATTTAATTTTTCAACCACCACCCTGCCACACCAAAAATACTGGGAACAAATTATCAATTATTAAAACATTAATTATCAATTACTAAAACACATCCAAAGTACTAAAAGTATCTTTTTAACTGGAAATTTGACCACCAAGCCTACGTTGGAGAATCTCTTCCCCATGACTTTTTTGGCATTTAAAGCTACTTGCAAAGTTAGCAAATAAATTCTCACAAAGTGCTGTGCTGCAAAGGTAGGTATTGTTACTACTGTTATTATTAACGTGCTCTTACAGGGAAACAGGGCCAAAGGAATTCAAGCGTTAGGGCACAGAGAGATTTGACCCCAGCTTCCCCCCGTGCCGACAGCAATGGAGCGTGTCATGGGCACAGCCAGCCCCTCCTGCCCCGAGAGCCACCCAGCCGGCAGTGCCCCGGGTTTGGTGGAGCATCGCTGCTCCTGGGGGAGGGCTCCGGGAAAGTACAGCCGGGAACCTTGTGAGCCAACCAAAACAGCCCCGAAATATCCCCTGCCCCCACGGCCCGCAGCGGCGAGGCTGTCGCAGGAGGGAGCGCAGCCATCCCACTATAAATAGCAACTCCACTAAAATTAGACAGAACTGGCAGCTCCCGGCCGTGAATGGGAGCACTGTTAATATGCTCATCAGGTACTGGAAGGGCTCCAAGTCTGACAAGGCATGCTATGGCACAAATGTTCTGTGCCTGGAAAAATGAGCAGGAATGGCTCATGAATAGGCCTGGCATGTTTTCCTAACTGGATAATAATGTGACAGACTGCCTGACGATGCTGGTTATATTTGAAGGAGTCCTGCAAGTAGGGATATTTCTTTCTCCATGTTTCTTATTGCATGGCTTTGTTTATGCCAATAGAAAATGCTGTTAAATCTAATGAATAAAGAAAGGTGGGAAATCATTTAGGGGAAAATTAACACCAAGATAGTCAAGTTAAACCAAATTGGGTAACAGTGTAAGTATGTAAGCAGTATAGTATGTAACTGCTTTTGGATGTTTTCATTCAGAAACGTTTCAGGGCTCTCTGCCCTCCTCTGTGGTGATTTACTGAACAGTGAATAAAAGTATGAGTTGATGGTATACCAGGTGCTCGGTACTAACTGACCTGTTCCCCTGCTATGGAAACACCAAAAATGCTATTTGGCTTTCTCCAGTTCAAAACAGACCCTATAGCAGTGCCATTATGGTCACAAAATGGCAGAGAAACTTCAACTGCACAGATGATGTATGCTGACCTTTTTTCCTAGGCATAGCACCATTGAAATCCAATCACCTCTGCACCTGCTATCAGTCAGCCCACACTTCCATATATAGCTTTTTTTTCCCCTAAAAAATTAAGTTACTTCATACAAAGGCACCTTGAGGGCACACTGCATTTCCACAAGGAAGTCAGAGCCCCAGCAGCCGATGAATTGTGAATTTACACCGAGTTTATTGTACAGTGTCTCTTGCATGTTGATAAACCATTAGTTCACTTCAGTTTAATTCACTTTGAGCATGAATTCAGTTAAGGTAATTATGGCCAGCTGACTCCTAAATGAGTGTCCATAGAGAAATTACATATGTTTGAGTTATATTCACTTTAAATTCACATGTTTTTTGTTAATTCACTTTGACATCTTGTGTAGGACAAGCCGTTGGTATCTTAGCTGTGTGCCAAAGCACCTCGAAGATATGGGGATTTTGAACTAGTTTCAACAGACAGAAGAAAAATCAGATGCTCAGAGGCTACTTGATGAAAATATTGTAGGGTTTTTTTATATTACATAGAAGACATATGAATGGCTCAAACATAAAAAAATAATTAGACATGACTATGGTAATTTAAGGGGTTCTTTTATGACAAGCATTAAAATTAAACAGTATAGTACTGGGTCCATGCCTTTCTCAACTCAGCGCTTGCAGCCGTAAGGAAAACACAAATTTACCCCTATTATGTCCCAGTTAATCTGATCATTTAAATGGGTAAGATATTTGCTACCACAGTTGGTTTCCCCCCCCCCAGAAATCGTCTCTTCATATATCTGTATTGCCTTGTCTTTAACGTACAGAATGATCTGAGTCGTGCGTAACTTCATTTTCGTTCTGGGCTCAGGAAATAAGCAGAAGTTACTCTAACTCCAGCTCATAAAATAATGACCCCTTGAGACTGCCACTGCTCCAGTCCTCCTGCAGCTCTGCCACTGTCCCGTTCCAAAGACTGTTGGTGGCCTGAAGGCCTCACAAAGCTGTGACCAAAGGTGGGTTTAACCGTAGCTTGCGGATAATGGTGTTTTACTTAGGAGAAAGTTTGTGTACACCAGCACTTTGAAATTTAATCCTACAGGGGCTAAAAACAAAACTCTTATTTCTCATGGAGGGGATTTAGTATTTGGGTTAACTACTTGATTAGAAAGGTTATGACCTTTGTTTATGGAATAGCTTCTGTGTTTTTAGCCCAGTAGGAATGAAAGCTTTGATGTCCCGAGTGCCAGTAGTGAACGTGTATTTTCACTGGAGAGATGTTATGTGTCAGTGAGGAACAGGAATGAAGCCTAATGAGGACCCAGACAGGCTTGTTGAATAATTGTGTGCATGAAGGGAAAACAACCAAAGCAACAAACTTACCAAAAACTGTCTATATGAAGATATAAAACCTGTTAGGATATTGCTGCATTTCTTTTGGAAGATGGCACACATACTTCTTAAAATTAGTAATATATCTGAAGAAAAGTTTGAGAAACAAAAATATTCTGGATTCTGAACTGGGATTTCGGTAGAAAAGATAATTAAACAAAAGCTAACAAAGCAACTAATGCAAGTTCAGGCTCCACTTCACAATTCCATCCGACTCCATCAATTCTTTTTGCCGCATTTCCAGTCTCTCACCTGCTCCCCCCCAGCTGCCACTAGAGGTCAGGTGTTTATCGTTGTCCTCACTGCTGGCAATAAATAACCCCTTGAGCTGCAGCTGAGGAAACAACCTCCCTGCACACCGCCTGGACCTGTGTGTTTGTATGCAGGTAGAAGTACAAATCAGAAATCAGAGCAAAGCTGAATTGCAGATTTGTACCACGCTTATGTGCTCTTTACAAATCAGAACATTTGGTTAGGATTTCGTGTGAGAAATTTGTAGGTTTTAGTGTGCTCTGTATAAAGATGGAATTTCTCAACACACAAAGAGACATTCATTGATTTGAGTTATTGCTGCACCAAAGCCAATAGAGAAGCTGTCAGTAATGGTGATGAAAATAATTGTTAGGTGCAGTAAGTGCAGATTTTGAATTGTATAGGGTGTTTTTTTGCTGTAACTTGTACCAGCCCAAAGCAGGTGATTGTGCTTCTCACGTGGTGGTGGGGACTCCTGTCCCTTGCATTTAGGCTGGGTCCTGTTAGGTGAACAGTGGGATGATGTGCACCCAGCAGCTCCACAGTCTGACTTAAACCAAAATTGCCAGGGGGATATTAGTGTCAAGGAAATCAAGTCCTCACAAATTACATTAAAATTGGCAAGTGAATAGTCAAGAGAAACACAGGTAGTGTTTGCCTGCTGACATGGTCTCTTCCCACTGAAGTGAGTGCCAGCTGGGCAGGCAGCATGAGCATAGGGACAAATCAGCTACTTTGCCCCAGATGAGGGATGCTGAAGAAGTGCTCAGTATAGGGCTGGAAACAAGGGACACAGAGCTAAGGGAACTAGGGGAGAGGAGGTGAGCAGCTCAAGTTCCCAGCACACACTAAGCTCCTTCTCAAAGCTTAGTGTACCAGTCATATGCATTAGGAATAAGGGAGAAGTATGTTTATTTGGGCTTGGGAGGGTGGGTTTGGGGGCTCTTTTTGGTAATAGAAATAAGTCTTTTTATCTTCGGTCAAAGGATAAATGGATACTCTGCTAAGCAGCAGTATGGAAAAGGGGTGCAAGTAGTTTTATCTCCGTTTTGTATTCTCTCCACCTTGTTTTTAACATGGCCTCACACAGTGCAATCGTTGGGACAAAAGTCCACAGTTACCCAATGTCCATTTACTTCACGCAAATATTTTTGTTATGATAGAATCATTATTTTAGAGGATGGCACAATGGTCCAGTTACTATTTTAAACCAGCTGCTGGTAATATGAAACTATTCCCAGAGTACTTCAGAATAGTACTGTATGGTTTGCTAAAACTGGATTTAGGGCTTGCTTTAGTGGCTTTGATGACTACGTTGCTCAGATCTGCTGTGCCTTAAAGCTCTGTCTGCTCAGAAGAGGGACTGCAGCATTTCTTTCCAACCAGAGAGTAATTTAAACAGAAAATATTTCATTTTTAGGTTTAATAATTTCCGGGGGGGCATTTTTTATTTGTAGAGACAAAATTGTATTAGGACTAAAGAAAAAAAAATCAGTTTATGGGAAACAACTTATTTGTGTTCTTGTAATGCCATAAGACAAATGCAAGGAGAAATATTTTAAACAAGAGAAAATGGTTCTATCCAGTAAGGGTGAATATAATTGCAGTAGGTAGGCACTCATCTTCATTTCACGCAGATGGTGCTCACAAAAAAGTCATGTAAATACATTGAGTGTTAAGATGTCTGTCTAAAATATCACCTGTTATATGAAACTCCCACTAATTTGTCATCAGGCCTGAAATCTCTGCAATACACCCTGTAATTGGGTTGGTTGTTTGGGGTTTTTAAATAGTACATTTTTCTAGGTTTAGAAGCACCTTGGTATATCCTGGACTCTTATAGCAACAATGGCTTATCCTCATGGACAACCTTTCCTTTGTTTCCTAACAGCAGCAGGGTTGAACTAGATGCTCTTTAAGGTCCCTTCCAACCCAAACCGCTCTGTGACCTTCTCTGTATCCAGGCAGGAGGGCAGGAAGAGACAGTCCCTTTCCCTCCTCTCTATGAACTTGGCAAAAAGGTGCCTCGGATAAGGAAAGTAGTAACAGCACAGGGAAGAGTACCAAAGAACTGCACTTGTTACAGCTGTTTTCTGCAGGGCTGAATCCTTAAAAAACCCTGCTGCTGACTGTACAGTCCTGGGGTGAGCGGGGCACGGCGTCCGTGCGTGCTGACAAGTAGGAAGAGTAGCTCTGTTCACACCAGATGGCTGCACTTTGTAAAGCTAAGCCACTGCAGGTGGTTATTAGTCTTTCTTCTTTTTCTGAAAACAGTGCTTTGTTAATGCATGTAATGCTAGAAGGGTTAATATGCAGCAATGTGTTCCCTGCTTCTGCCTTCCTCTCTCTGTAAGTTCTCGCCCAGTTGCTGGGGGAGGCTCATCAGTCAGAGGTGAATATATACAAGAAATACAGGCATCCATATGTGTTACTCGGGACAAAGGGGTAACATATGACTGGTTTATGTGCTTTGCAGGAGAACTGACCTCCCATCAGCTGCAGTTTTGCTGCCACGGATACTTTTTGGCAGCGATATGAGAGGACAGCAAGAATGGAATTTTGCTGGTTTTTATAGTTTTATAAAATAGCTTTCTGGCTTAGGCTCTTCTACAGCAGTGAATCTGGCAAGGCAGAAATAACCCCAACACTTTTGTGTCCCAGAATCCCTCCCAAAAGTAGGTAGAACCTGCTCCTGGGTATTGGATGGACAGGTTGCAGGGTACTGATGGACACAAAAGGGTGGAAATATCGATAGCCGTCCCCCCTCGGAGTTCCTCAGTGTCCAAAGAGTACAACTTGAAGGTCTCCCTTTCTTTCCTCCGCAATGTCTCTGCATCTGGTATGTCTCAGCAGTCCATTATTTTCCTTTCCTGAGCCTCAGTCTGAACACCACCCATAAAAATGGCTGCAGCGTGCCAGGTCTCACACAGAGTTCAAAACATAGGTGCCACATCAAGCTTTCATGGTGACCTTTACTGTGACCCTTGTGTCCCCCAGTTCCTGGGAGTTCTCTGCTGCTGCAGCGTAAGCCCCTCTGGGAGGAGCTGTCCCTTTATTTGCTGTGGAGCACTCTGCTGTCCCGTGAGGAATAAAATTAACAGCGGTGGCTTCCAGTATGCTCGGCATGAACGATGTGGCTGCCAAGAACCAAGGCTCGATCCTCGTGTTCCACAAAAAGAACGGCTCAGTGTATTTAGCACATTGCTCCAAGTGATTAATCCAGCCAATAAAGGCGGAGGTTTTTCCTAAGGTACATGAATATCTTTTAAAACTATGTTTTCATTCTCTTGAAGCAACAAAGAATTGAATAACCTGATTTTTACTAGTGCTATGATGACTTGTGATCAGGAATGGAAAAAACAATATAAAATAGTAGCCTACTGTATCAAACATATTTGCTCAATAATCTTTTTGGTATCCAGGAGCTTATCAGAAAGCTCGTGCCAGGTACAGGCTGCCCTGGGTACAACCTGCTGTTCCTGCTGGAGCGGTGTCCAGTTCAGCTGTCCCAGTTCAGAGAGCTGCACACAGGGTATGTTGCAGGAAGCATTCAGTGTTTTCATATGTTTGTGTTATCAAACTTCTCTTTTAATGTAGGGGTCGTCCCTTCAACACAGAGTAATTCTGCCTGGAGACTATTTAGTGAAGAGCCTTGCTGGTTTTGGGCCCACTGGAAACTATTTATCACTGTTTACAGAAGAGAAAAGCCCGGCCACCAGATTAGCAACCAAATCTAAGACTGATTTCAAGGTACATTCTCCGATAGAACAATACACATCTTTCCAATTCAGGGATGGGAGCGGATACCTGAGTAAAACATCACTGTCGAAAGGCAGCCTGACTTTCACCAACTGTGGGGACACAAAGAATATGCATACCTTCCAGAAGCAAACACTGTAGCTAGGCCTCAAAGGTAACTCAAATCTGACTAGATTAATTCAACATCTGTCAGTTGTATTTCTAAATCAAAGCATCATTAGTGTAATATACGTGCCAGCTGTAAAGTTCTTATTTCTGGAGTGAAAAAATGTAAAAGCTAGAAACAGAAAAAACGGTGAAAAACTGTTGATTGTTCCAAATGGGCTCTTCTAGGATTTTACAGAATTTAGGGGGGAAAAATCAGCATTGTATTTTATTTTTAATCAGGGATTCATTAGGCCTGGACTAAGTACAGTTTGATTCCAGTATTCCAGTCTGGTTTTTTAATGTACAGTTCACCTTTATTTATGTAATAAATCATATTTTTCTGCATATAGTTCATGGGATTGATAGTGGGATAATGACTGACTCAAATTTTTTGTCTAAGAGCAAATGAAAGTTGCAAAGCTGTCTTAGGATGTTTATCTATGCATTGGCAAACAGCACTGTATAAAATTGAGTGAAATGCTAAAATCTAGCCCCAAAGAACTGAATAGTGAGGTAAACAGGAGCAAGAATTCAAGTATAATTACATTTATAGCAGTCAATGAAGAGTTGACTAATTAGAAAAAAAAAATTTGCAAAAGAAATAGAGCTTGAAGGACTGATAGAAAGAGAGCAGGAAAGGACAGAGGGTACTTGTTAAGAGAGACATTGCCCCAGTCAGGGGTTTGAAGATGGGGGAAGAAAAGAGGAATAAAACCAATATTGGTGCAGTGGGAAACCAAAGGACCCAGGAGGGATTTCAACCACTCTGATCTGTTTTTAAATATCCAAAGTGAGTGGCCTTTACCACCTTCTTCCAAGCTGTGGTTTAACAAACAGGTGAAATGAGGTAACACATTGCAACTGCCAGGGGAAGGTCTGGGTTCCTCCTGCCCTCTCCAGTGTCCTCTCCTCGCCCTTGTGCCACCTCTGGTCTTCCGTGGCTCCCAGGTGAGGCAGCACAACTCACTCACCTACAGACAACTGGCCAGTCTTCTCGGGGGCTTGAAAAAACCAAATACACCAAAGCCTAAAGAAGGTAAATGGTGGAGCCTGTGCCTGAAGGAAGGGTAGGAGGAGGGAGTGGGATTTTCCATTTTCAGCAGTGCTGAGCTGCTGCCAGAACACCTTAAAGTGCAGATCTGTAGCCTGTGACACCTCACTTTGAGGATTTCTTCCTGGCTCAGTTTCCTAACATTAGCCTGTGGCATTGCCCTTAATAAGAAAAAAAGAGACGTTTTTTCACTTTGTGTTGTAATTGAAGCTTTACTGGGTCAAAAAAAAAAAAAAGGCTTGGGTTTGTTTTTACTTAGAGCACAGTCATAGGTAATAGCTAATCTAACTGTACAATCCAAAGCGGAGAGACAGCACTTGTGATTCTACCACTGAGTAATTAGGTGATGTCAGCACACTCACACCCCCAGTTAATCTGCCCTCATTTGCCCTGTAATAGCATAACAGTGCTGTGCCTTCAGCCCTGTTTTCAGTGGCAGAGGTACCTGTCTCTGGGTATGGGGCATCAGAGGCTTTTTGTGCATGTCTGTGTGCGATGACAAACCTGACAACACGTGGGAGAGTGACAGGGCACTTTACCTTTTACACAGCTCCAACAGGCAAGCTCCCAGAATGTAAACATTTCAGGATGAGACAGGCAGGGTAGGTATATACTGACAAGACCTTTTTTCTTTCCAGATTAAATAGAAATAAACTGAAGGTATACTGAGATATCAGATACATTTGAAAATCCCAGTTTGGACATCAAACAAACATTTGTAATGCTGAACCCCAGGATAAACAGCAAATATTTTGTGTTCTCTAACAAATATTTGGAAAGTGACACGCAGATGAGTTAGGTAATCAAAGCAACTGCAATTGGTAACATAACTCTAAATGGATGCAAAACGCTGTGATATAGCTCTAATTAACTGCTCTTGTGTGATGCTGCTCGTACTGGGCTTCGTTTGGAACAGCATCAGTGATCTGCCTGTCCTGTCCTCAGCATTTCCCGGTGCCTTGGGAATCCTTGGGTCTCCAGCCCTGGCTATAGGAATGGGGAACCCAGACAACCAGTGTATGTGCACCCCCAGAGGTGGTCAGCTGGCAGGAGACCAGCTTTGGAATATTTGCTGCTGTACATTCAGACCTTATGGATTTTGTCTGCCAGTTTCTAGAGCCAAATGTACCTCAAGCCATAAACAGGAGGTAAACAGGGAGAAGGGGAGAGAATTATATTAATATATGCAAAAGCTGATAACTTTTTTAAGGTATGGGGGAAGCCCTTTAAAATAACTCAGTTAAAAACTAAACCTCTGATGACACGAGCATACAGAAAAGCAGACTTCACAGGCCTGCTGCTTAGAAAAGTTCTTGCAGTTGCTGCTTTCAAACCACGTATCCAGATTTTTTTTCTGGCTCTCACTGCATTTAGAGTGAGTGAAATGATCCAAGAAAAGAAGGTTTCTTCATGTATTTTTTTTTAACTGGCAAGACATTATCTCAGGGATTATTAAGAGAAAAAAAGTGGAAAATACACTGAATATTGCAAATCTATAGGAGAGCTTTGGGAAACATGCTGGATTTTCATCTAATTCTGAACAAGACAATTTTTATTTCTTGCAGGTTCATTATCAAATGATTTCCATGAGGTCGTGAGGTTTCCAGCAGTGAACGGAGCATCTCAGCCTTGGTTTTGCTAAGGAGAGATGGGCCTAGGTGCACAAGGATCTGTCATGTGCAATTGTGTTTACTTGTGCCTGTTTGCTAACCTCCAGCTTCGGTGAGTCACAGTATTTTTACTACCATGCTGTCCATTCCATAGGCTTTAACACACTCCTCCACTTAATTATTAACACAGTCCAAAGGTATCCACCCCTCTCCCACACAGATCTTCTAGCTAAACACAGCTTTGAAACCTCTTCTTATTTAAAATTGTTCCTTACGGTTTGGATAAATACAGTGTTAGCAGCTGATGCTTTGGTGTTGCTGCGGTGACGTCCTTCCCCAGCTCTGCAAGCTCAGAAGGCTCCTGCCACTGCTTACATTCCTCATGTCCAAACAATCAGGACTTGTCCTCACTCCAGTCCTACAGACATCCTCTGGCTTTGCTCCTCATGATCCTGTTGAAAGTGGCCTGTTTTTCCAGGGTTCCCTATAGCCATCTCCTAAGCAAAACAAGCCCTTTGCCCTCTTTCCTTATCCCTCAGATCCCCTGCTACTACAGTCACCTTCTCTGTGTCCTTGGTTGGGCTGGACTGGGGTTTGATGCCAGGCTGATTTGGGAGGTGGTGCAGCTCCACCATCACATTGTGCCACCTCCATGGTGTGGGGTGTGTGCCATGAATTAGATTGCGAAATGATTTTTATTTTCTGATGCTTTTTTCTCTTATTTTTCAGTGGAACAGGTCCCCTGATCTGGTTCACAGTATGGCCCTGCCAGGAGCTGGAATTGGGAAGATTGAGGAGTGATGCAATGTGGCATGAGGACAAAAAAGGTGGAACTGGGTGTTGGGATGTTTCTGAGGCCACAGGATCAGAAAACTGTGGCCTTTCTGCTGCCAGCCTGAGGCGAGCCTCAATTTCTAGGCACTAATGATCTTGTTAATCTGTTTTATAGCACAGTCAATCTGCATATGTTTTCAAGTCTCATCTGACCTCCCTCTTCTGTGTTATTGAACATCTTGTTTAGAAATTCTTTTATCAAACACTTAAAACAATTTTAGAAATACTTGTTTTAAAAAAATCTAGGACTTAATTATGGGCAGCTCCTATTCCCACAGCAAAGCTGGTAAGTGTAAAGAACAGTGAGAAATACTTGAATCAGAACATGGACAGTCGAAGTTTAAAGGAAAAACTGGTACCGACAAAGCATTTATACGTGTGTTGCTTTTGTTTTAAAATTTGACTTGTAGATGTGCAATGATTAAGCAAAGAGCTCAGAAATGGACTCTGTGGTTGTTCTTCATCCCAGGCCGTTGTGGCCAACGCTCAGTGTACTGGTTGTGAACGCTGGAAAAGGCTGGGTGTGTATCACTGCAAGTGTTAGTCATGGCCTGGAAACAGGGTAGGAAAATAATTGAAGCTGAAGTTACTCAGCTAATTGCTTTGACTAAGTCTCACATTTACACACCCTAAGCACCTAAACTCAACATTTTTACTTGACAATACTTGCCCTTCCTCTGGGGGGAAGTAGTACAAGCGGTAAGTAGTGCAAGTGAGTACAAGGCAAAGAAACTGCTCGTATGAAGGATCCTGGAGGACTGCCAAACTGACTGGGTGAGCTCTGGGAATGCACTGAGTGGACACATGGCACTAGTGCCACGTGCTACCACTCTGGACACAGCAGCAACCTGTCCTTTCCTTTAACTGCCTTGCTCCAAACCAAAGCACAGCAGCTTAGCTCTGAACTTGCCCTCAGGAGCCACTGGACTTTGCACCAAAACGAGCACACAAGCACTTGATTCGCACTGCCTCTCTTTGGGTGCTCTGGCAGCAGCACAGCCTGTAACATCACTGCATCTCCCTCCTAAGCAGATGTGCTTGGAGCACGAAGAACTTGGCCTGTGGTGTGCAGAGTACATTGGCAAACAGAAGTTGCATCGTCAGTTTTAATTTCTGCACTTGGACTGAATTATTTACAAAGAGATGAGATCGCAGCAAGCTGACATTTTCACAGCAATTCCTTCTTGAAATCTGCATAAACAGAGACTTCTGAAGCTTCCATTAAGGCTACAACTAAAGCCAGACAAGAGTAGATAAGCACTGCTGGGAGCATGCTGGGAGTATTTACCAGTGACAGCTCAAGCTGATCGAGCCATTTGAGGGAACACACACACTGCAGGGAAATAGAGGAAGACACTTTTAAGAGAAAACCAAGAAGTTACTAATAATTGCATTAAGAAACACGATCCACCAAACATTCTACCTTCCCTCTGTGTTCTGCTGGGTCATGCTCACGTACAAGCTCTGCAGGGGAAGGGCAGGTTTTCTGCAGGATTCTTAGAGGAGAGTAGAGAGCACACAGGTGTTACAGGAAAGAAGGGTTGGGAATTGGAAACAGACATCAAAGGGGGGCACAGAGTTGACGTAAATAGTAAAGAGACTTGAGAGGGGGCAGTGAAAGATGGCTTTGGCTGGAGAGGGGGTAGAATGAAGGCCAAAAGAGATGTTGCAATAGTCAGCTTGTAAGATACAAATCATAATAGTTATGGTGGGGACAAACAGGGACAGATTTTAAGGATGTTGCCCAAGAGAATCTCAGTGGGACAGATAAAACACCAAATGGGAAACTGAGACTGGGGAAAAGGGGCAATGAAGACTTCACAGAGCCAACAAAACAAAAGTAGGAGCCAGTGAGAAGCCTGGATAAGGAAAGAAACTCTTTCTTTGAAATAGGAAACATTCAAACAGTATTCAGTTCAAAGGACTGGAAATACAGGGATCAATAAATTAAAATGCATTAAGCAATTAAATTAAGAGTGCATCTATTTCCAAGGATAATAGGAAAAAACTTCAAAATAGGAGGAAACTGTTATCCCTTCAGTCACACTCTGGCATGTACCATGTGCATTGAAGGAAGGAGCAATCAACCCCAGTAACAGAATAACAAAACTTCTATCCAGTTCAAGATACCAAGCAGTGACTTGTTTTCTAAAAATGTGTAATTTTATTATATTAAGTCTAGCTGATTTTTAGCAGTTCTCAGAGATAAAAACCAAACCCCACAAATAAATCTGCTAAATCCTGCAGAATATGGTAATGTAGTGTCCAGCACAAAAAGAAACATATAGAAAAGGAATCTTACACTGAAGGAAGAAATAACTCAGATGAGAAGGTTAGGCAAATTGGGGGAAGAAAAGCCACAGTTGAGTTTTAAGAGTAATTGCTTTTGCCCCATAAACTGTTTTCAAGTCACTCATTTCCCCTCTGGTTCCTCCAGAAGAGCAATGAGAGGAATGCCAAACATTCTGGCTTAGGAAGCGTTAATAAGTCCAAAGCACTGTGATCTTACATGCAACTGTCTGAAGGCTTTTGGACACAGGAAGAGACGTATGGACACCTGGAACGTTTGATCTTGACACTCTGACAAATAATGAATTATTTTAATAAGGAAGAAGTACTGAACAAAGTAACTTTCGAATACAGATAGAAGTTATCTGAGTGACTGAGTCTATACCTTACGTTGATGGCATGGTAAACATCTCTAACGAAAATTTATAAGTAACAACTTCAATTGCTTCTTTTGTTGGGAAATACAATCTCAGGTTTAAAAACAAAACAAAACAGAAAGAATGTCTAAATAGTTTTGCGGAACACTAGACTTGTGTAAACCTGTAACTTGAATCCTGGTTCCATCCAAAACCTGTCATATTCAAATGAGGCAGATGAGCCTCCTGTGATTTATCTAAATGTTTTCATTTATCACCTTTAGTCTTAGAGCTTTGTTCTAATCCAGGAGAGAGACGTGCATCTGAAAAAAAGCCAACCTGCAAATCCAGCCTGCCCTAAAACCAACAGCCAAGCAAAGCAGCACAGACATTTCTGTATCCAAACTGCTCTACTGGGGCAGAGCTTCCTAAGGAAAGCTCAGGGTGGATACATCTCACAGATCTCCTCTGCTCCAACAGTTTTCTTGGCTGTTGGTTTTTTTTAAGGGGGTTGGTCTGGTTAGAGAGAATTGCTCTTTAAACAATAATTTGCATACTGTGTATATTAAATGAATCAGAAGTAACCATCTCCTGTTCATTATCACATGGGACTTTTGGCTTTGACATATTTTGACGAGGCACAAATGGGCAGGATTCAGTGTGCACAAAATTATACATAAAAGGCATAAATTATGCTTGGATAGTTTTCTAGACTTCTGCTAGTGACCTCTGTTCATAAAACTTCTTGCCTCGTGATGGTCCAGCCTCTTCTACTCATTTAAGAAGAGTAATTCAGTGGTATTAAATTAATTTTCACTTAGCACATGTTAGCTCTGTAAAACTTCAGTAATCACTCAAGGACAAACAGAACTGTATATCTGCTGTTTCAGCTGATAAAGGGCTGGCTACGATACTGGGTGCCTGCAGTGCCTGTTCAAACAAATACCCGAATGGGGAGGCTCTGTGGCTGTATCCACCTTCTTGGGAAAATCTTTCGTCATGACCCAGCATAAGCAAGGCCCCATTGTCTGCTAAACCCTTTGTCATCAAAGCAGCAAGAGAAACCACAGCAACCATCTGAGTGCAGGGTCAGCCCACTTCCCGTGTGTTACCTGTAGCTGGAGGAGGTGATGAAGGTGCTGGCAGTTTTTCCTGGTGTAGTCTCTCTCCCAGGCTTCTGAATGAGTCTGTGCTGACTGGATCTGCTCATCTGCTCCCACAGAATTGTTTTGAGAGGCTCCATGTCTGGCCTTTAAATAAAGGAAAAGGAATTTTTGTTCTGCAAAGGAAAACATTTTGTGACAGAAATGCTGCATGTGGCTGTGCAGACCTCTGGCAAAGCTGGCTGGCTACTGGAAAGATGGAAAATCAACTACTGCACTAATCTGGCTGCTTGTTTCACAACTGTCGAGTTGTTAGGCAATAGCAATAAGGTTATTGCATATTAAGAGAATATAACACTAATTATATCTTATTCCAGCTAAAAGCCTAGTAAGTAATCTAATTTGTGATTTCTAAAAGCTTGCACATTTAAATAGCTAATGGATGTTTATGATATTTAGTATGTTATTAAGATTCGAAATGTGATACAAATTTACACAATCCAGTCAGTAATCTACACTTTAAAAGCTCTTTCAGTAAAAAAGGAATCAGTACAGTCTCCTGTATAAATATTTTAAGTGCAGAATAGATTCTACTCCTTCACTACAGATGCTTTCTGCAACATCAGCAGTTTTTATGGACGAAAAATATCCAAATTCTTCAGAAGAAACACTTCCAATACAGGGATTAAGAGAGCTCTCTTCCATGTCTGGGGTAACACAGCCCTCCCTGCTGACCGTGCTGTAGACGGAGGTTGCTACACATTTGGTGTGGGACGAGAAGCCCACAGCTCATAAACAGGAAACAGCCCACAACTCATTTTAAATTCCAATAAATATTTTGTGTTTTTACTGCCTTGGATGTGCTTGTTCGTGAGTCAGGACGAGATGAGCTCAGCAGCTAGCATAAAGCTCAGCCAGCCTGGCAGGCCTCTCACTGGCAACAGTGGTGAATCCATAAAATGTGTATATTCCTGAGGCAAAAGCCTGCATCCATGCCAAGATATTACTTTGGGGAATTGTACTGCAGTGCTTGTGCCATGTCACCTCCGGGACCAGCAATACGAGCACGCTTGCAAATAGACCTCCTAAACCCAATCGGAAAGTTCAATATGGAAACTCATACAAATGTCCTCAGTTTCCACAGCTTCCTTGCCCACACATGAGGGGAAACAGGTTGGAAGGAAGGAAGGAACCAAACTGAATGAAAAACTTGTCTTCTCAGATAATATCTTTAATGGAAATAGTCCCTGATGCTTGTTATCAGCTGATCTCTGCTACACACAGACTGGGAGGAAATACATAGGTGTTAAAATTGGGAATTTACCAACTAAATCAAATTATTCTTGTGGCATTGGGTGTTGTCCCAGCTTGGAGCAGACCTTGGAGGAGCACTAGTGATTGAGAAGTTGGGCTGTGACCAGAACCAGCTTGAAATAGTCTTAAAAAGGTAAAATAAATGTGAGGGCTTTCATTAGCTTTGTTTTCTGGGGTGTTTCTGTTGCCTTTTGCTGTTTGGTATGAGCCATGCTTTTGGGGGTTTTGAGCCTCTGCTGTTACTGTTGTTCCTCCACCGAGTGCTCTGGTGTCCAGGGCCATGTGCTTAAATTTATGAGACATTTGTGGAATTTAGTGTGGTGCTCACTGCAGTAGGGGCGCTGAGCCCTCAGGACAGTGCTCTCCTTTCCCTTCTGGGCCTCAATCAACTTCCCATTGGAAACATCTGAAGCGACTCATCATGTTTCACCTTCCCGGCACTGTGCCATTGACTACTCAGGTCAGTGATAAAGTGGGTTTTCTTGTAAGTTTGTTTTTTGGGTTTTTTTTCCCTGAACAAAGTGCAAATGTGAAGGCGAACAAGGGCTTCCATGATTTTGGAAAGCCAGCAGTGTTTTTGTGCAGCGATGGGTCCCCCCTCGCCTGCCCTCAGGCAGGCGGGCACACACTTGATCAAAAGTCTTGGTGCCTCAGGGTCGCCTACCTTCGCCCCGATCTCAGTGAAGCTGCAGCGGCGCAAAGGGACCCAAGGCCGGTGGGATGTGAGGTGAGTGAGGGGTCTGAGAGTTCTTTTCTTCCATTTTAGGCAACAAGGGGTCTGAGGAGAGTGAGGACTGTGAGGGATCTGAGGGGAGGATGTGAGGGGAGTGAGAACTGTGAGGGGTCTGAGGGGAGGGTGTGAGAGGAGTGAGGAGCGTAAGAGGTGTGAGGACAGTGAGGGGAGTGAGGGGTCTGAGGGGAGGCTGTGAGGGGAGTGAGGACTGTGAGGGGTCTGACGGGAGGGTGTGAGGGGAGTGAGGACTGTGAGGGGTCTGAGGGGAGGGTGTGAGGCATCTGAGGACTGTGAGGAGTTTGAGGGGAGTGAGGACTGTGAGGGGTCTGAGGGGAGGGTGTGAGGCATCTGAGGACTGTGAGGAGTTTGAGGGGAGTGAGGACTGTGAGGGGTCTGACGGGAGGGTGTGAGGGGAGTGAGGACTGTGAGGGGTCTGAGGGGAGGGTGTGAGGCATCTGAGGACTGTGAGGGGTCTGAGGACTGTGGGGCCCGTGAGGAGTGCGAGAGGTCTGAGGACTGTGACGGCTGTGAGGGGAGTGAGGACTGAGATGAGGGTGAGGGGTCTGAGGACTGTGTGAGGACTGAAATGGGTGCGAGGGGTCTGAGGACTGTGTGAGGACTGAAATGGGTGCGAGGGGTCTGACGACTGAGCGGGGTGCGAAGGGAGCGGGGCCGCCCCCGCCCCGCCAATGGCGCGCGGCCGCGGCGGGAGGTGTGTGCCGACCTCACTTCCGGGACCTGTCACCGGCCGCTCCCGCCCTGTTCCCGGTCCCGGTCCCGACCCCGATCCCGCCTCGCCGGCAGCCGGGGACGCGGCGGTGCCCGCCCGGCCCGGCGCAGCGCAGCCCGCAGGGGCAGCGATGCACGGTACTGCCCTAAGGGCGTCCCCCGCCCCGCCGTGCCCGAGTCCCGCGGGGCTTCGGGGAGGAGGCGGGAGCGCCCGCCCGGGGCTGGTGACGGCCCCGCCTCGCTAACGCGGCGGCGGCTTTGCTAATGACCTGTCCTCTCTTCTCCTCCCCTCCCTCGCTATTCGCTGCTCCTTATCTCCCTCGCCCCGCGGTGCGAAGCCCTCGGCGGAGCGGCGGAGGCAGCGGGCGGAGGTAGCCGGCCCGGGGAGATGCTGTAGCGGCTCCCGCTGCGCGCTCGGCTCGGCGCCGGCCGCCGGCTGCGGGGACCGGGCCCAGGGCTGCGGGACGGGCAGAGCCGGCCCAGCGCGGGCGGGCGGAGGTAAAGAGCCAGCCTGGGAACCCCGGGGGAACGGGGAACGGGGGGGGTGTGATGTCCCGTCACACAGGGTGCTGCTTGGCAACTGTCATGTGTCCTAAATGGGGCACATCTGGATTGTCCTTAACCTGGAATGAACTCGGGCACTGGGCAGAAAGTACGAGCCTGGAGGTTCCCGCTGTTGGCTTGGCTGGGCCAGGCGGGTTGTGCTGTTCCCGGTCGGCCGCTCGGAGGGGAGCCCTCTGTCCTAGGAGTGGGGGCTCTCTGGTTGGGTGAGTTCTTGTTGTCCCTCCGGGGCTGGCCACTTGCTCTTCAGAAGGCATTCCAGAAGTACTGATGGAAAAGAGCGCGAAGACGTATTGCCTTGTATTTATATTAAGATTGGCACAGTCTCAGTAACACGGGTAGCTGTTCCTAAGCTCGCTGAGGGAAGTAGTATGAGTACAGGATTCATCAGACACGATTATCTGGAATGATAATGTCTGGCACTTTGGTGGCATTGGATGTCTTAGTAGTACTGCGCTAATAGGGGTGTCACATAAGTTTTGTTGTGAAGGAAAGTGGTGGTCAAACTGCACTTGTGTTACAGAACATGCACAGATTTTCTCATTGGCATCCTGCACTGATCACTTTTAGATATTTGCTTTGCAGGCAGCAAAGCCGATCAGCTATAAAAACTGTTTCCTTTATGAATTCTGAATCCCTGACTGAGCACTGAGGTTACCTGGTCTCATGCTGGAACCAAGGGCAGTTGTGGTTCATGTGATGTGGTCACACGTCTGCTCAAAGCTAAACCAGTGTCATAACCTTTGTTAGCTGGTGTGAGCTGCCAAGGGGCCATCAGCTCCTAGTTCATTTAGTGGCAGATTTGGGGATTTTGAGTAACACGATGTGGTGTTTTGGAAGGATGAGGGTGTGCAGACTTTATCAGAGGTTTGTGGAACTGTGCAGGCAGCATGCGCCCTCCCTTTTCCCATGTTTGGAAGGAACTCTTAGTGTGGTCCAAAAAAAATTCTTATCAGTCTTTTGCTACTTTATATTGACTGTCATCCTCTGCAGTCAGGTGCACAGGGAGTTCTGGCTACCTACTGCAAACCTGCACATCCCAATCACCTGGTGGTTTTGTCACTTGCTTTTCAGTGGTTCTTTAAGGTCTTCATTTCCTGTTAATCCTGTAGTGTTCATAAATGCTATAATGAATTTTAAACCATGGGAGAGAGGGTTACATTTCAGTTGTGATTTCATCCAGTTATGCTTTTAATATTTCATGTGTGGAGTGTTATAAAAATACAAGGGGAAATTATGTTCTACAGGAGAGTAGGATATATGGCCTAAGGTGTTTATCTTGTTCTAGACTATGGATTATAATGCTCACTGTTGTCCCAAGATGGACAAGGAGGGCAAAGGAATTTTTCTTAGTATTTTTTCTTTTTAGAACAGCTTGTACTTCAAAATTGCAAACAGCACTATTTTTCTCTTTAGTTTATTGTAGCTTTCCTGCTGAGATTTGAGTTCTGTTTTTCTTGCATATTTTTGCAAGGGGAAAAAAGGGGACACCATACTTGTTTTGGAAGATAAATTAATGCATATTTATTATATGTTCAAGCATACTTTCTTAAAGAATTTTGGAATTTTAACTTTCTTTTAATCTGACTGCTCTTTCAAAATCTCCCCAAATCTTTAATTTTTTGCATTTTAGAGGTATGTATAGTTTTTGTTGTTGTTGTTTTTAATGGACCTTGTAAAGTATATAAAAGCAAAATCTGTACCTTTGGGGGTGTAAATGGTACTTAAAAGGCCCATTGCAAAGACATCTTATGCCCCTTGGAAACCATAACAGTTTTTCCATTGAAAGACTTGGACGTTTCTGGGAATGCTCCTTATGAGTAAAAGTATTTTGCTTTAGAACAGATAATTAAAATAGCACAGAGCTTTCACTATAATATTCTTAGCTGAGTGGTTTTGAATTTTTCTAGTATGAAGAAAAAAGATCAGAATGATACTGGGATATACTAGTCATATTCCCTAGTTAGCTAGATGTCAGTGTGGTCCTGCTGTAAAACTAGTGATGTATTAAAAGCCTCAATCATTTAAAATGTAATTTTAGCCCAAGTGAAATGACAGTGTTTTTTTTCCTGCAGAAGCATTAAGGAATGTTTTTTGAAAAGCCTTAAATGACATCATCTCAATATAAAATCAGAATAGTAAGCTTTGGGAAATTTTGTTGACTCTTTTATTTTTATTTTTTTAAGAAAGGATGTCAGCAGCTTTTTATTGATGAAGAACCACTTGTTATCACCAATGTGCACATGAAATGGAAAGGGAACAGGTTCTGGAAAACAACTTCTGTTACAGCCTTGCAAGATACTACCTGAAGTGGTGAGTACATATGTGGGCTGGAGGCTGTCCTGGCATTGTTCTTGAACAGCTAGGGAAGAACAAACATTTGGGGTAGAATCACTGTCAGGAGTGATGAATGTATAGTCAACTGACAAGGAAAGAAATCTGAGCAAGCAGTGCCAATAAATAATTGATAAACAGAAAGTAGTAGCACAATCAGGAGAGCAGAGGAAATAAAACTTCCTTATGTTCTGATATCTACTATGGTCTTAGGCAATAGTTATTAGAATTCTGAATTCTTAATATTTTAGAAGTAGAGTGATCAGGATTTCACTGTCAAATTAAATATTGAACAACTTGTTATGAAGCAGAATGCTGATTTTTTTCACTGAATTAAAAAGTACTTATCTGGTAGGGTTAGGCTCTAAATCATCAAAATAAAACTAAAATCTCTGAAAGAGTGTGATATTTGGCATGTCTTAAAAACATTGAATTGATATGAGAAGATTGTTGTGTGACCAGATTGCATGTGGCATTGAGATGTTGCCAAGTCTGACTCCACTTCCTCATACCAGTTCTCATAGTTTCTGCTTATGAAACAGTATTTATTTATAAGTGCATTGCATGTGTCTTTAAATATCTAGGAAGTGTAATTTCTGTGTCCAGTGAAGGGCTTCTCGTGCACAGATTAATACAAATTATAAAATACAACTCATTGGCATTCCAATGCTGACTGAGGCTTGAGTTGTTACGTGAGTAGTTTGTGTGGGTCTTTGCTGTGTCTTAAAATGCACATGGGGTTGAATTTTTTTTTTACTTTGGAGATTGAAAGATGCAAATTACCAAAGAGGCAGAGTTTGTTCTCTGGTACGATATTCCTCTAAATTTATTGGTTTAAGTTCAATGTGTCTTGTGCCTGTGGAGACACTAGAAGTAGAGTGGCCAGCATTTGGCAAATTACCCATTCCTTTCTAGAAATGCTGATATACTATCATGGCTTTTAAAAAATATATAAACTGAGAAATTACTCAGTCTTTCCAAATAGTAAAATAAACTTGTTCAAAAATGTGTCTGCCTTGAGGAACTCAGAGGAGTGAGCAGCTACTGAAGTTGTTTCCAGGCAGATGAAATACATGTGAAAGCGAGTTAGTCCAATATTTTCATATTTCATTTTTTGGTATCTCATTAGTTTGTTTTCAGTTTGTTGGTAAGTACATAGAAGGAAACCAGAAATGCTGTTTGGTGTGCAAATGAAGTGCAGGTTGAGTAACACCTTACTCATCTGTGAGCGTATAATATCCTGGAGCTGAGAGAATGTATCATTATGGATAGCTTAGAGTTTGATGTATTTTACATTAAAAAATGGTACCATAATAACTTACTGTTATTTATATTTAACAAAAAAAAAAAGGATCATAAAAATTGATCATTTGAAACTATTTCACAGCCTGTGATTAAGGTTTGGAGGCAGGATTACTGTTTTGTTGTATATATCCATGCAGCCAGCGCTGTTAGGCTGAGTGAATACTGTTATTTGCATACAGGCTTGTATTGCCATTCTTTTTTTTTGTTACACAAATAAGTGCTATATGCCTGTTCTGTTGTAAATAATTATTTACTGGAAATGATTGATATAACAAATCACAGAACAAACCACTGAATGTGAATGTTCGGAAGGTAAGAAGAACTTTTGTCTGTTTGCAACACCTATTTGGAAGTGAAGACTTGAATTAGTGATGATATGTCCTAACCTGCTGTTAGTGTTACTGCTTCAGCAAGAATGGTATGAAGTACCTGACACTGGAGTCGTGGGGCAGGGTGCCATTGAACAAAAGAACTCCCCCCCATCTTTATGCAGCATGTGTGAGGGGGAAGGTGGGCCTCGTGTCAGGAGACTTCTTTGGAGACTCCTGCATTCATCAGCAGGCAGTGCCTGGTGGCTTTCTGGCCTAGGGCTGGGGAATGCTCCAGCACAGATGTCCATTAATGCACTCACTCTGATGTTAAAATAAAATTAATTGCAGCCCAGAGGTCATAGTGACTATTGTTGCCTCGTTGGCAATTTTCAGGGGAAGATTACAATATGTGTATATATATATATATATATATATATATAGTGAAATTTATTTATTCTTACCCCTCTCAGGATAAAAGACTGCTGTGTGCAATTAAGCAGGCCAGACTGATCAAATCAGGCAGCAGCCTTGGTACCTTGTAAGTAAGAGACAAGCAGCACAGGATACTGCCTTTGAAAAAAGCAGCAGCTGTACCTGTTGTGTTCTGTGCTGCCACACAGACATAACTGCACATAAACATGCCCATGTTTTCAAAACACTGTCAAATGTTCAACTTAAATGTACATTTTGGGCACCTGATTCTCAGCATACTGAGCTGCCATAATTCCAGCTGAATTTACAAGGAGTTGCATTTTCTCAAGATTATAAATCCTGTAATAAATCCTGTGGAAATGTAGAAGTGATTAGCCTTTAAGAATAAAATTGTTCAGTTTGCAGCTTTCATTCATTCGATTTCTCTTTTACATGGCGGGTGTGTGTGTGTGTATGAATGAGCACATAAATGCAAAAAGGACAGAAAATAGGATGTCTTCTCTCTCTGTTGTTCCTGATAGCCCTGCAGATATAGACTACAGCAAGAAATGTGGTTACAGAGCGTGATAGGTCTGATCTAGGCCCCTTCTTTCCATCTACCACCCGTGTGTTTCTGTCCCTCCTTTTGCAGCCCCTCGGGGGGTCTGTTCAACCATCTCTGGCTGGTTTTCCCGTGTTACTCAGTGAACGGAATGGTTTCACCGAGGCCGTGTCTGCCCGGGGAATAACCCGTGCCAGGGACTGTTCTCGGGGGCTGGACACAGCCGTGCTCCTCCCCAGGCTGCCCCTGGCTCCCGGGCACAGCGCTGTGCTCCTGGCCTGGGGTTTTCCTGGGAGCGGGCCAGGCCGGTGTGCCCAGGGTGGTGTCCCGGAGGACGCTGACACTCGGCTCGGCCCCGCTCTGGGCTCCCGTACTAGTGCAGGGTGGCCAAGGGCGGGAGCCAGCGCAGGCACGGGGGGTGGTGGCGTGGCTGGGAAGGGAGGAGCGAGAGGGAAGGTGCGGGGACCTGTGGAAGGGATGTCCTTGTGATTTGAGGGAGCTCTTACGTTACTTAAGCTTGTCTAAGTACCCTTAAGGTAACATTATTTTGCAATCAATGACTCAGTTTGGCTCTGCAGAGAAATGCTGCGTCCCCATAACTGCTCTTTCAAAGTGTGGTTCAAGCCAGCTGAAATGCCTTACAAAGTGAAGTAAAACTGGAATATGAAAGTACATATATTGCTTTTTAAACAGGCTTTCTTATCCTGGCTCTTTCCCTGGACTCATGTTTTAGTTCCACCTTTCTGCAATTCAGATGCTTCCTCAGTTAAATGGAGTGGGGTGGCAATGCTGGTACTGCCGTTAAACTGGTAACCAGACACCCTTCGTGGCATGGGGAGGATGAGCCGGGAAAATAATGGCAGGAAAATAATCGCTTATGTTTTAACACTTTTGGATCTCGCAGGAGCGTGGGGCTTGTGATCTCCATGCTGTAGTGAGTGACCTGATTTAGAGCTGTGAAGTCATGTGTCCCAAGAATATCCTCTATCTGTCGTGTCAGGAGCTTGCAAGTACAAGTACTTGATGTCCATTTGCCAAAAAATGTAGATTAATTGCATTCATGCCAGTTGCCAAGGCTCTTGTCAGCAATGCTAATTCATTGTAAACTTTGGTTTTGTGTGATACATTTATTGCAAAGAAAAACTTTTTAAGGTAGGGATGTCTAGGTTATCAGACTAAAACTGAAGGCCTTTGTCATAACAAAAAAAATCCAAAACAAAACCCAAACAAGCAAACAAAACAAAAAGTGAAAGAATTTTGTTTCTCATTCCACTTTGGGTGCTCTGAGTTGTGACATGGCATTAAATTGAAGTTAGTTTATTTTTAGCAGGTTTTATTTTTGTATTTATTTAAGTGTAATAACTGAGCAACAAGAGCCTGTAAAAATACTTTGAAGGAATGAGTGAAATAGTAGCACAATGAAGAACAAGTAAACTACACAACTCCAGGTGCTGTTTATAGAAGACATTAGATTTTTTTTGTGCTAGTAGAAGAATGTGAAAGCTAGCCCATTGGAATGACTCAGTTTGCAAAAGTACACTTGCAAGCAGAAGGGGCCTAAATCTGTTATACCTTGTCTGAGGGTCATTCTTTTTGATAGGATATAAATTCTTCTGTTAAGCTGAATTTAGTTTATCAAATCAGTCATGTTACTATGTCTGGGCAAGGGAATAGAGTTTATTAGTGAAATAAAACCACTGAAAATACACAGTGGTGGTGTTCTCTGCTAAGAAGGCGAATTCAGGCTTCTTGAATCTCTTCCAGAAACAGATGTAAATTGCTCTGTAGCTTTTCAAACAGTGAATAATCCCGGTCTGTTGTGGTGGGTGATGAATCATGCAGGGGGCTGCAGATGGTGCAGCTGTGCAGGCGCTGCAGGAGCTGGGGTGGGAGACTGCAGGGCCCCAGGGGGTGATAGGAGGTGATTTGGGGTTGGCTGATATGGCTGATGAAAGAGTATTGGAAGGAGCGTGCCAGGGCAAAGCCCAAACTGTAACCTGAGATTTGGGATGGGGAGACGGAAAGGGGGCACTCTTGAGGCAGAAAGATATTTTTCGTTGTTATTGGTCTTTGAAATGAAAGTTGCGGCATGAAACACCAAAGTAACTGGACTTTGTCCCGAGCCAAAACAAGAAGGAGCCCGAGCTTAGATGTAGCAATTGAAGCTGTAAACAAAAAGAGAAAACTAAGAGACTTCGTGTCCCTTTTAAAGGAATGCTGGTCGTAAGTAGGAGAGCTGTTGCAGGGACAGGTACAGATGCAAAGCTGTGGGCTTTTTTATTTCAATTTTTCTAAGCATGACCTGTGTAACGAGATCAGGGTTGCAAAGTTTGGGAGTTTGTGAGGTGGAGAAGTTGTATCTGAATAGGCAGACTAACAATGGAGAGTTG